CGCCATTTTGCGCAGCCAGGCCCTGCCAGCTGGCAGCAGGCCAGGAGGCGGGAGTTCCCAAACGGTCAGTTCCTACTGCTTTATTTCCCAAAATGGGATTTATCAAAGGTTGTTCGTGGCTTAGACTGGGCCTGCAAGCCTAGGGAGGCGTGGCAGGAGTGCTTGTGTCTCTGGGTGCTGTCAAGTACGAAGGCCTGTGGGACCAGAACATTGCCTGCAAAGTTTGCTAGTGAGCCTGAGCCTGTAGTGGTAAAGGCAGCTTTTGGGATACATTTCTGTGTTTATAGGCCTTACAGAAGAGGCCTCAGTTCATCTTGAGGGCACAAAGGGCAATGTGGAAGTGTATGTTCCACAGTAAAACACTTGTGAACAAAAATTCGATCCTGGTCACACATCCTGTGGCAGCAGAAATTGGAGGGAAGAGGCTGGACCAGAAGAAAGTTTTTAACTTGCTGTGACAGGAAACAAAGCTGTGATTTGTCAAAAAGTTAGAGCTCTCTTTTTCTCCCTGTCTGTCACATGTCAGCAAGCCTTGTGATGACTTTCTCTTACAAAGGCAGCTTTACAGAAATGAGCTCAGGGAAGCAATCGCAAGAACAGAGTTCATGAAGGAAAGGAAGGCTTAGGCAAGCACTGTAATTTAAATTACATTTGGTATGGCAAGCCATGAGCTACGTGATGTTTATATTTGAATCTTAGCTTTTATATTAAAGTAAGTTGCTGCTTTTCCTGTTGCTTTGACAGCGTGCCACAGTTGTGCCTGCTCCTCGTGGGGACTGGGAGGGGGCCCCATGGGATACATCACTCTCCCTGACTCTCCTCTCTGCTGGGAGTAAGACACAAGACTGATGATGGGAGTCATTTTCCTACAAAAGCTGGTGAGCAGCAATTCCTGTCACATAGGCAGGAAGGCTGCTCTGTCAGGGTGGATGCACACAGTAACCTATTTTTCAAGGGTAGGCTCATCCTAGAGCCCTGCAGAGGTTGTCATCTGTGAGCAGGGACCCAAGGGTCAGCAAAATGCAAACTCATCCTTCTACCTAAAATATATCAACTACAGAACACTCCTATCAAAATTGATCTTAGTCAGGCTACTAATGACGTGGCATTCACGAGGGCAGGAGACATACCCAGTTTCAAAGACCCTTTGTCCTAAGGTACTCATTTGCTAAGAGCTCTATGCTGGCACTAGCTTAAGACTATATTGAAACTTGGGAGGACTGTGCACGTTCAGGATTTGAAGCTGTTGAAACATACAAGATAAAACATTATTTTAAGTATATGGTTCAGCTCAGCTAGGATGTTAAGACAGCAGTCCTGTAAAACTGCCAGCAAAACTATTGGCAATCCCAGTCAAATTAAGTTAAGCATGATAACTTCTTTGTGATTTATTTATCTCAGTGCATGCTTGGAACAAGGTTTGTTGTTTGTTTTTTTCTTATAAAGTATCACTGATGTTTGATTTAATTCAAATTAATTCTTACTGCTGGATAAAACGTAACATTGGGTGTGTTTGCAGGTGGATGTGTCTTTGTTTGTAAGGATTAATAAGAACCTAAGCAATTATTTTTAAAATGTTGCTGACTCGGCCTATACCAACGCTTGCTTCTCCACAACAAAGAGATAGCAGAGTTCGGGAGGAGCTCCCATACTGAGGAATTTTTTAATTTAACTGTTGAGTCCTTTTTCCTTTCTGTCCTTTCCTATAGCAAAGGGTAGATTCGGTCAGCAATCATCAGAGCAACCCTGTTTTGGGTGGTTGTTTCGCTTTCTGGGCAACAAATTTTTGAAAATTGAAAAAACAATAAATGGACAGAATTCAAAATGTGGGAGGGGGAATTAGTGACCCAAATTCCACTGACATTTGGCATGTCTCTCTTGAAAACTTCTCCCTAGTTTTACTGGTTATGGAAATGCCTTCTCAGGATAGGTTTTTTGGGGGATTGGTTGGGGATCATGTTGGAGTTGGTTCTTTTTCTTGACAAAGCAGTTACAAAAAGTTGTTTGAATATACATATTAAATCTAATGAGGACGATTACTCTGTCATTTAATCACAGACTTCCATGTCTTCTGGGATTCTAGGCAGAGCTGGATTCTGGGGCAGATTTTTGAGGAGGAGACACTTGCATTTCCCTTCCCATGTCCTGTATATGAATTTTATGTATCTCCTTTCCTCACCATCAGCAATGAGAAGTTTTTAAACTACGTTCACACCAACCACTATCTTAATGCAGGATATCTCAAATTAGGGGGTGAATATATAAAGCTTGATGCAGGCCCAGGTTACTAGGGAGTTGGAATTTTTTTCTGATGAGGTTGTCTGGCATGAAATCCTTCCTTTTCCAGACCTGCCCATTCAATTACATTTACACTCTCTCATTTTAGGGGAGCATCTGCGAATCTGCCCCCAAGGCTATACCTGCTGCACCAGCGAGATGGAGGAGAACTTCGCAAACAAAAGCAGAAGTGAATTTGAAGCCATGATGAAAGATGCCGGTCGCTCTGTGCAGACCACCCTGACAGCACAGCACAGAAGCTTTGACAGTAAGTAAAACGTGTTTTTTCCCTTCTCAGGATCCAGTCACTGCTTAAATTTCCAAGCACTGTTCAAGCCGGGTGTTCGTGTTCAAGACGTCTTCTTCCGCATCTTGCTCAATGCTTACCCTGAAATGTCGACCTGCAGTAGGAATTGTACCTCTGGCAGTGCTTTTGCAAGACCTGAGTCATTTTGACAACTCCATTTCAGTGAAGCCATTGCAGGAGGCTGGCAGGCACTTGGACCAACAAGTTGTGTACCTTGGCACTGACACAGCTTTTACAAGCATGGCATAATCAGCACTTATTACAGCAGCATAACATTTGAGGTAGTGATCTAAAGCTTGGCACTGTGCCTTGGGCTATAAGTTGAAAATATGGTAAAGGTGACCAGAGAGCCCTTGGTAGATGGGGGGGGTTTAAGCTGGCATGGAATTTTCTTGTTCTTTCCCT